AAATTGAATGTAAACTTATATTAAATAAATTCACAACCGTTAATTGGGCTATTATGTGTTCTATATTTAATATTTCTATCAAAGAAAGCCAATAGATTAATGTCTAATTTAAATTAAAATTCGTTTCGTGTAAATACTGGCTCTGCGTTTGTTCAACCACAGGAAATTCGCCTACACTATCGCATCGTCTGAAGCAGTGTAGCGGTATCCAACAACCTGAAGCAACGGATCATTCGGAATGTTGTGCCCGGGCAACATTCTGTGTTAGCGCAGATAGCAACTCTTGCCACATATCATCGTATATAGAGATTATACGTGGTTTTCAACATTCGTTTGAGACTTTTTCTGATCAATATTTGTCGAAGTTGCCGACAGTTCGTCAACTCGCCAAAGTCACAGTGAAAGTATACGGGACTTTTTGCAGTACAAATTCATCGGATTGCAGATCTGCTTTTGCTACATCTACAATAACATCGTCATATTTTTTATTGCTCAGGTACTCGAATATTTTATATATTTTATTTTGTACCTTCAAATGCCTTATAACTGTAAAGCCAATATGCCTAACATGGCTGATGAGGAACAATCACCTTCTTCGCAACCTACATAGTATAAAGCAACGAATTGCTTGTGAAGAAGTCGATAGTGATACGAATGTTCTCGAATATCAATTACAAATTGTTGACTCCTATTTTCAACATATTTGCGACGCTCAGAACAATATTGAAACTCTTTCTCCATCAGATAAAATCCATCATTTCAACAAAATCTAAAATATTTTCGTTAATCAACCCCAGAAACCGCGTTTCTGAGTTGAACACTAGCATGTTCAACGCAACGACATTTGGAAATACTAGTTATCATAACCGATTGCCGTCGCTCAAATTACCAAAATTTTACGGCAAATATTTGGAATATATACGCTTTTCCGCACCTTTTGCAACATGGTGCACGATGTTCCAACAATGCCAAAGGTGGACAAATTTAATTATCTTTTAAACTGTCTTTTAGGACCAGCCCTTGGCGTAATCGAACCCTTTCAGGTAACCGAAGAAAATTATCCGAAGGCTATACAACGGATCAAAGAATGATACGACAATAACGTATTGATTTTTCAAGACCACATTATATCGCTTTTTAATACTGCAGTTATGAAAAGATCTGACACTATTGCAGCGCTGCGAGGTTCGTTACTCTTGTTGGGCTCAGAAAACGACATAATGAATTCAATGCTAATTAATATCGTCTTAATTTAAATTGATTCTGATGCAAAATCGGCATACAATCAAAACCAAGAGTTTAACTACAATATGCCATCATGTTACGATTGCTACAATTGGTTAAATCGGAACTGTCAGTATTTAGAAACTTGTTCAAACTGGGAAAACTCAAAGGTAACACAGCGAGATTGTAAGCTACTCGGTAAGAAAAACGCAAATACATTCATTAAAGCGATGTCAAATTGTATCATCATATCAGCTAAAATGCGTTTTGATTGGGTGAAGCAAACAGGTGCTTGCATCAATTGCTTACGCAAAGGACACACAGTATCTAAATGCCCAACGAAATCTCATTGCCGTATATGTCATCAATCGCATCACTCTCATCTACATTTCGCCACCGTTGGAGCTACGAATTATCCATTTGTACACAAGTTAGAACCTAAAGAGAAAGACCAAACACCTGTGTCGTTTCCTTCGTCGAATCCATCGCATCATTCACCAACCAATCCATCAGTTTCACTCATCGCATGCACACGTAAAAGAGCGATAATACCAACAGCCCTAATTTACATACAGGACAAATTTGGGGAGATGCAGCCAGCTCGTGCGTTATTGGATTCATGTTCCGAATTAAATTTCATCACCGAAGAAACAGTGAAGCGGTTGCAGCTTAAAAGGTTTTTCTCACATCAGAAAATCTCAGGTATTTCAGATGTTCGTTCTAATTCAAAGTATGCAGTAAATGCGAAAATCAAATCTCGTATTGGAGATTTTACTTGTATATCGCAATTTGCGATAACTAAACAGATCACGCCACAAATACCTAGTAGTTTTATTAACAATTCTAAATGGGATATTGATTTAAACATTCAGCTTGCGGATCCCTACTTCTACAAACTCTAATGAAAAATTCGTCAGAATGGCCTGTAAGCAAGAAGGAAGCTAACATTAAAATCTAGGACATGGAACAATGAAAAATAGTAAACCTCAAGTGTAGCAAAAGCAGCAACGAGGGATGAATGTTATCAACGTCATTATCAACAGCTGGTCATCGTACCACCGATTATTTCGCATAGTTGCATACATTTTTCGAATTGCTGTCAATAAGCAACTTACACCAGCAATGATAATTCAACTAACGGTAGAGGAACTTGAGCAGAATTTGTGGAGAATCATCATAGCTATTCAACAAATCGAATTCGTGGAAGAAATTGAAAGACTTCAAAAACCACAACAAGTTAAATTGTTCATACATATGGGTTATAAATGCCCGCGAAATCGTAAAGAAAATTTATCGAAATTGCGTGCTTTGTTTTCATTATAAACCTAAAATAATGAATCAAATCATAGAGGTTCTACCTGCTAATCGCTTGCGAATGCAACGCCCATTTCTAGTTATATGTCGACTTTTGCGGCCCTTTCAGTACGACCTATGGTCTTCGTGGAAGAGCTCCATACAAAGCGTACATAGCGATATTCCTATGCTTCGCATCTAAAGCCATACATGCAGAATTAGTATCCAATTTGTCTATTAATAACTTTATACTTTGTTTAAAACGTTTTGTATGAAGACGCGGCATACCTCAACGCATTTACTGCGCCAAGGCCACAAATTTCGTCGGTGCTCAAAGCAAATTAAAGGATTTTCATCAACAGTTCTTCAATAAAACGAATAATGATGGCATCACTAATTATAGCAATTTTTTCTATAAAGATTTTTGTGCTCTATACAAACTCCAGCACTCTAAGAAACTTTTTTAGCATTGTTGTCTGGTATATCTTATAATAAGTTCAACATGATGGCTGAGAAAATATACCTAACCACTGATTATCACCAAATATTAGAAGAAATATATATATATAGAAATCTATATCTATCACTTTAGGTGATGCAAACAACTCTTTGGTGAACAAAACTATACTCTGTTGCAACATGTTGCGAAGGTATAAAAATGTTGCGAAAGAATTCAACATTGATTACTCGATTATTATTTGGTATCTTGTTAACTTATGTTATTGATCATAGATTTATTTTGTGTCAATACTTTTTTTTCTTCCGAAATGTTAACTTTTATAAAAAGAAACTATTTAACTCAAATATGGTATTTGTGATATAAACTGAACCAAAGGGGTTAGATTTAATATGTGGGGTATATGAGGTTGCTGTTGTACCAGAGGAGCGGAAATCAGTATATTAGGGTTATAAAGTTTAAAAGTCTAGACCAATTTCATTCATATGCAGCGATATACATTATTTTTAAGAAAAACTGTCCATTTAATTTCATTAAATTATCAAATTGACGAAAAAAATTATACCATAAGTAGTACATGTGAGCTGGGACAATCAAAGACCAGAAAATTCCTCCAAACCGTATATTAAAAAATGTTGAATTAGACTTCCATTATTAAATGATATCGTGATTAAATTACAATCAAATTTGGTATCTTCTTTACTTATATTAAAGGCCATTAACTTAATCTCAATTTTATTGCTTGAAGTGAGATATACATAAGTATGAATGTGTTATTAA